TCACGGCCTGCTTCCCCGATGCTTGGAATCGGGAAACAGCGGTGAGGACGAGTAGGTTCCGCTCGGCACTTTGAAGGCAGATATGGAAACATATTTGCCAGTCTTTGAAGTCCGTACCGGTGCCCTGTCTCATCATTATTCCCAGTTTCGTCGTAAACTCGACCCGCCAGTTCATGTCGCTGTAGATAGTTGCAATGACTTTGGAACACACGTAGCCGTTTGTTACGTCACTTGGTGGGCATAGGACCTGAGGTGCCCACCGGATAATAAGGACTTCGTCCCACAAGTGAATGTTTTTGATAGCCAAATCCCGGCCGCATAGTACTGAAAATACTAGTATATCCAGGTATATCCAGGATATAACGTCCCTGAATCTTTTCAGTTGGGTTTTCCTCGCCCTATCTGTTCGAATGTGCTCGACGTACTCCTCGTGGATACGCAGCACCTGCTCGAATGCAGACGGCGGTTCGAACGGAGAACGTTCCATTTCTAAAGTTAGCACAGTTCACTTTTTTTCCTTTTTCTTTCCAATGCACAGTTATCGCCTAAGCCAATTGCACAACACTGTCACTCAAGCTCTTCGCTCTTCGCTCGCGCACTACACAACAACTGCAGTACACTATTGTCTCACGGCGGCAACGCACTGCTCGTGGAACATGGATTCCTGCGGGTGTCCCTCCGGGTTCCCCTGGCAGAACATGGTGTAGTTGCATGTCCTGACCAGGTGGACGCCCTGTCTAGGCCACCTGATTTCCTGTAGCGCCGCTATGTCGATCTTGTTCTCTTCCAGTGCGTGCCAGCTACCCCGCGTCCGCGATGCTGCATTCTGAAAAATATACAAGTCTTCGGAGCTAGGCCCTTGAAGGGGTGCGCGGGCCGGAATGGACGTCTTTAATTCCAGCCGTCACATTTTCGTGGCTGGGCTGCAAGCACTCGCCGCGCACGCCGTTCCATGCCAGCTTGTACGGCTCATTTCTACCGGCCCATACGGTTTGCGCCGGGGTGGTGGGAACGCGGATTGGATGTCTCGGAGGGTTACCTCGGAGCCCAGCAACGGAGCGTGCCTCGCAGCGAGGTTCAGATACCCCACGCCGTGGTCTGCTTACACCGCTCGGACTTTGTCCAGGCAAACTAGTTCCGGGTCGTTCAGCGGCACGGCACGCAGCAGGCTTTTCGGCGCGACGCACAGCGCAGGGTGGGCCTCGACGATGTCGGCCATGCCACGCACTTCAACCGATGGGCCTCGTGTTGGGGCAGGCCTCACGTGCCCTTGGCCGTGACGCAGGCGTTCTCTGATTTCCGCCTCGCCATCAGTGAAATCGAAAGTGTGGTGAAGTTACCACATTTGGCTGTGGTGAGAGACGGGGAGTGTAGGGGGAATAAGGTTGAGGTGGAGCACATCTGGGCGACGCGATAACGCCCTCTCGGGAGGTGCGTCTGGGGTAATATTCCCAGGGGTACAGAGACCACACCTTTCCCCAAGGGAATGCTCCCAGTGTAAACCAAGTCGGCAACTAGCACAATATGAAATTAGGTACGAATAAATGTAACCCGGTGCCGCAGTTATCAATGGGGATACAGGGTTGGGCTCCTCATCCGCTTGCAAAGTGAGATCGGAATAGCAGTCTAGACAGTAGGTGCCTTCTATGAATCATTACACATCTGTAGTGCATAACCCGAAGGGACGCTCCAGACTGGACGGGCCCGGTAGAGGGCTTGACACGTGCACCTGGCCGTGAGTGCCCTGGGCGCCGGCCGTCACAGTGGGGTGGTGCCACTGGATGCTCTCGGGGTAATCCAGAACCTCATGACAGGCTGGACCGACGTCACCTGGACGGCGCTGGGCGGGCGTGCACCCCCCAAGGGCTCGGGGCGCACCGGTATCGGTGTCTGGCACACTGGCGGCGCGGCGGGCTGGGCGACCATAGTGGGCAACCCCGGCGGGGCGCCAAGGGGCGCGCCCAGGTGGGGGCCGCAAGGCCCTGGACTCTGGTAGGGCGGAGGCGCCCACCCGGGTGTGTGGACGGGCGGCGGCCCCGCTTGACCCACGGCTGCGGTGGCTGTCCCAGCGGGCAGCGGCAGCGGTGTTGGACCGCTGAGCCGGACCCTCCGATGGGCGCGGGGCGACTCGCGGGCAAAACTCGGTGCACAGCGGCACTGGGTCGGCGTCCGGTATTCCCCAAAACACGGGCAAAGCACAGATGTCACAGTTCTTCCGCATGCGGAAATCGTGCAGGTACCCGCGGAACACGCCGTTAATAGACTTGACCTGGTCAAAGTCCGTAAGCTCGGCGAGCCAGTGCGCGCACGAGGGATGCACATAATACTTCCCCCGTAGGTAGGGGTGTGACTGTAGGATGGTCACCGAGTATTGGAAACGGGCCATCCTAATTGTTCACAAATTCAACAGGTTCACAATCGCACTGCACGACACTGCACTTCACTAGTCACTGCCACACACGGGGTGGTCACTGCGCGAGGCCGGGCGAGGACCTGGTATAGCGCTACCTCCGCAATGTAGTGTTGCCACTCGGTCCTGGGCTTGCCTCTCTTCCTCTTGCCAGCCGGCTTGAGGTCCAAAGCTCTTCGGGTGTACCTTTCCGGTGCGGCCCGAGCCACATGGCCAGGGCAATCAACAATAAACATATTTACATGGGGACCAAGTTATTTGTACAAAACTGTGATTTTCTCCCTTCTAGGTGTCTTAGACTTACTCTACATTTTATGGAGACAAAACTTAGAATGTAACTTAACATAGGATGTCAACTGCACTGCAATTACCATAACTGTGATCTGCATTGGAGCTTTCTTTTCTGAGTCATTATTAGAGGCCTTTTCCATCAAGCTTCCTTTCATGATTAACCCTTGAAAAATAAGTATTTTTTCTTCCTAACTTAGAGTGACAGCTTAAGAAAATAATAAATGTTTCAGCAATAGCAAAAGAAAAAAAAAAAAAAATGTTTTGTTGTCAAAAATAAAACATGGTTGAATATAATATAGGTGACAAGCCCTAATTCTAGCTAAGGGCACAGGGAAACTTTAACAAAACCTGTGCCGGCTGTCCTACAAACTACGAAGCACACTGATGGGCTCTAATTCTAGCAAGGGACGCAGGGAAACTTTAACAAAACCTGGCCAGCCCATCCTACAAACTAAGGACATGCACTTAAATCTAAAAATTACCTAAATGCCAATGAAACAACACTTACATGTGCTAGGAGTACTTAATTTCTAGTGACCTGCCCGGTCGTACGGTTATGATACTTAAAATTACAGAACTTGAGTAACGTATGGTTAGTAAATTACGCATGCATAGTAATTTTGTCCTACACTCTAAAACTGTTACTTAATTCATTGTATATGACATCACCTTATTGTCTGTGGCCGCGGTGAACGGTCGCTACGGACGTTTCGGACCCGCGAGAGTCCGCTGAACCCGGCCTTTCGTCTTGCGATCCCGACGAGGAGGACCGGTACGACCCTCGGTCGGACTCACCGGTCGAGGATGTTCTGCTGCGGACGCTGTCGCGCCCGCCGCCGGGGGACGCGGACCGCGCGGGGGACGGCGAGCCTCGGTCCCGCCGCGCATCTTCGCGGTCTTCGTCCTATTGTTCGTGCCGTCTGATGCAGTCTTGGCAGCGGCCACACGGGTGCGTCCTCCGCACCGACCGGGGCCCCGGGCACGTGTACCGGACCCGGCCCAGGCCCTGCGCGGTGGCCGTCACCAAGGACGGCTCGGATGCAGGCAGAGCGCGTCGTACGGCGGGGGCGGGGCAACGGAGCTGCGATGTCGGCGGCGAAAATCACTCGGGTTGAGTGGAACAGCGGGTGGCGGCCCTGGCGGCGCGGCGGCCGCGACGCAGTCCGGTTGACGGCGTTCCCTCGTCGGCTGTGGCGCCAGCTGCCTCACACCCTCCGTTCTGAGGAAACGCGCCACGAGCTGTATGCCTGGACTGGTGCGTGGCGGCGCCACAGTGTCTGAAGTAGGCCGGGCATTGTCTGACGAGTCCATGGGTTCACCAGTGGACACAGCTTGATGAGTCGAGGTGACCCCCGCACGCGCCGTCGGCCACGCCGCGGCGGGGGACTGCCGAGAGGTGCCAGGCTTCGGGCTAGGTGACTGCCCGAGCGAAGCAGCGGCGGCAGGTGAATGCCACGCCGCGTGCAGTCCGGATGGTCCCGGCAGAGGGCTAAGTGATTGCACGAGCGGAGCAGCGGCAACAGGTGAATGCCACGCCGCGTGGAGTCCCGATGGTCCCGGCAGAGGGCTAGACTTCGCTCGACGACGGACGCACGCGGGGCAGAGGGCGACTCGTAACGTGGTCGGGGCTTGGCTGGAGCGACACTGGCAGGTCAGGCTACTTGAAATCCGCCACCCGTCTGTATTTCGTCTCAACGACCCGGATGTTGTCCCCGTGCTCTGGGTTGCGGGGATCGCGCGACACGACCATGTACTCGGTTTTCGGCGATATCTTGAGGCCGAAACGCGCCGCGTTCGACTCCGGGGACTCTGCCACCTCGATCACCTGCAACTTGGTGCTTGCACTCTTAAAACCTTACGAAGTATTTTGAGCATACGTATGAAAAACTAAAATACTTTGTTTTACGAAGAAATAGTTCGTAAATTACGAAGTATTTTCTTTGTAAGCTTACGTATGCTCAAAATACTTTGTTATACAAACTACTTTTCCTTGTAAGGCCCAAAATAGTTCGTAAGGTTTTCTCAGTGTAGATCATCATCATCATCATCAGCGCTGTTAGGCCTATACAGACCTTTAGCGGTTCGAGTCAGCAAGGCACTCCGACCTCGCGCGGCCTCTCCGCCACCTCAGATGCGGTAGGATTTCTGCATAGTCGTAGTGCCCGCTGCCCTACTGGGGAGCATGGGGGCAGTCTGCGCTAGGCACAAGTACATAACACAGACATCACGCATCTCAAGAGTTTGTGTTGCCGAGGTGGTGCGCTCGCTCCCAAGGGAGCGAGCTAGAAAGAACTCTCACCACTGCCTTGTAGTGGCCTGAGTTCAGGTTTTCCCTAATGTGATAAATAATGCCTGGTATTTTATATTGGAACCTGGAATTGAGCAAAAGCTGAGATGGTATGGACACCTCTGAATTATCCTTGCTCATTCTGTTGTTGAATCTGAAACAAAATAGAGGCAACAGTTCTACCCTCTGTCATGCGTATCTTCATTTCAGTTACTTTAAATTATGTGGAAGTAGAACCCACCTTTTGAGCTGGATACTAAAAACTTTCGTAGCTCTCTCTACCGATATGCTTTTACGTGCCTTATTCCTTTTTTGGTTGCATATGCTGCAGGTGTACTCTATAGTAGATGTTTTGAAATAATGGTTCAGTTCACCCTGGAGGGTTTTAAGTTTAGTAGGAATACTCAGGTCTTGGTAATGGTCTATTGTTTCCGACTCAGACCCACATTTATTACAAGTAACTAAAAGAGAGAAGTCTGTTAATATCTGTTGTAACTAATAATTTGAAAAAAGTTAAGTTCGTCTTTACCTGTTGATTTTATGTAAAATCCAAATATCTGGTCCCATGCAGTTGTTCTGGCACTGTCCTTATCTAATCTGTTTGTTAGATAAAATGTATAGTTAGTTTGGCATAACACTTTCAATTCCTTAATGAAATATTGTCATTGTGTCAAAATAATTACATAGTAGATGTAGTTGCATAGTCACGATGCTGTAGAAAGTCACTTATCACATGTTCTCCCAGTAACCTGAGGAACTCGTGAGCATCCTCCTGCCTTCCTTTCACTGGACGCTTAAATATATCTTGAAAAAGGAAAAATAAATTTGATCAGGCACTGTGAGAAAGTGACTGTATAACACACAGGTTTTCACCGTAGTTTTGAATGCTTACGGTGTAGATCGCCCACTGCTCCTTGCAGGGCGATGTTGAATAGCATGGGGGCGATGGGGTCACACTGCTTTAGCCCTGACGCCACCTGAAAGAACTGTGCCAGGGCGCCCTGGAAACGCACCGCGCAGTTAGTGTCTTCTTGTGACACCCGGATAAGGTCTAGGAGTGTCTTCGGAACGTCGAAGGGGGCGGAGGCCAAGGTAGCGTACAGGGATGGGCGATGGATACTATCATACGCCTTGGAGAAGTCCACAAACAGGAGGTGCGTGCCGACCCCCTGTTCATACCGGTGCCCGAGGATCGCCCTCAGTAGTGCGATGTGGTCCGTCGTCGAGCGGCTCGGCATGAAGCCGCACAGGCAGGGGCCTATGTGGGGAACAGGCTCTCATGTCCCCATTGAATACGTCCCTGCGACAGTTCGTCCTCACCCACTTCGCCCCCGGGCATAATGTCCCCTTGTTACTGCCGAATTTATAAAGGAATTGGCACAAAAGAGTTGTGCTTGGTCCAGAAAACGGGCACCGGAAAACGAGAAATTTTGGCGTGCGCATTGAATTGTTAAATGGTCGTTCAGCCATGGTGGTGGCTGCGTAGGGTTCTGGAGTTTCAGAACACCGAACCTCATCGCCGCCGGCGTTTTGGGGCAGGCCCCGCGTCCTCCTCCGCCCCGGCCTCGTCCAAAGGCTTTCGGATGTCTCGGGCGTGCGCTTCCTCGTCCACCTCGCCCTCGCCGAGACCCCCGGCCCGCGTTTCCTCGCGCGTCTCTTCGGCCGCCTCTTTGTAAGGTATGCGTTTGTTTCTTTGTCTTGCCGGTCTGTCCTCCTCTGCTTTGCTCCCGGTCACTTTTCCAGTCGTTATTTTTCTCTTAGCCCATGGCAGCTGCTCGGTAAAACACACAGATGGGCGGTGGCGGCGGCCGGGTTGCAACATTTGGTTTGCGTGTCACGGATGCGTACCAGCATTTACCGCATTTTAATTATTATTTTTATTGCGTTATGCATTACTGCATTTTGACCGCACGAACTCAACGAGTTTGGCGAGCTCGACGAGCTTTTCGAGCTCGAGCTGCGGGCGCGAGAGCACATCGTGCAGTCACAGCTCATGGCAGACTGACGGCCAAGCCCTGGTCACCAGGAGCGAGAGCTTCGCCTCACTCCCGCTTTAGGGTGTTGCCGCCCCCTGATGTGAACGTTGTGCCGTCTTTTCTCGGGATCATCGCCGTACTCTTAGTCCAATTCTTGGTAAACTGAGAAAAGTGTTCTTCACCCTGCCCCTTTCTTCATGCGACCGCGTTCTCCTGTCCTGACGATGGTGAACTGCTGGAAGCTGGATGAGCTCGAGCAGCGTCCGTGGGGTGTCAATGGCCGCCAACTGGGCGTACAGCGACGGTCGGTGGATGCTGTCGTAGGCCTTGGCGAAGTCGACGAACAAGATGTACGTGGTGTTCTAATCATGGTTTGGTTCAAGGTAAAATAAGTACGAACGATCACTTGGTATACTGATACGACTTTACTCTCTATGAGTGCAAGGGGGAACACACCAGTCCACACACACAAACAGGAGACACAGGACAACAGTTGACAGTCTACATGACGTGGCACTAAGGATGGCAACCTTCAAGTTACACTTATAACATAAGCCCCTCTGAGTCTCTACTCAGAACACGTGGGCACCCCGCGCTCCTCCCGAGGGGCCAGGATGTGGCGAAGGACGAGGATCTGGTCCATTGTGGAACAACCTTGCGTGAAATCAGTCTGGTACGAGCCGATGGCGCGCCGAGCCAGAGGAGCTAGCCTGCCCATGATGAAGTAGGAGAAGACTTTGTACCCCACGCAGAGCAGCGCGATGCCCCTGTAGTTGGCGCACTGCGTGAGGTCCCCCTATTTCGGCAGCGGGACGATCATACTCCGCTTCCACTCTTCCGGCCTGGTGTTGGTCTGCATGATGCGGTGGATGATCGACCGCAGGGTCTGCGCCACCGTCTCGCCTCCATGTTGTAACAACGGCGGCGCGATCAAGTCGACCCCCGGAGCCGTATTCCTGAGAAACCCGATGATGGAGGTGACCTCCTCGCAGGTGGGGGGCGGGACGTCGTTGTTGATGGTGTCCGGCATGGCGACGGCCGCCGCGGGCCCCGACACGTTAAGCAGCGCGCTGAAGAAGTCAGACCAACGCTGCAGGATCGCTGTTGCTGTTGGCCTTGGCCGCCGCGTTCTTGACCATGGACCTGACGAGCCCCATCTGCACGTAGCCGTCGGCGTCCACGCCGGCGTCCGGCGCCCTGGCCCTCGTCAGCAGCTCGCTGATAGGGGTGAGGTTCTGCCGCAGCGGCAGTGGCGGGGGCGCGGCGTGTCCGTCGAGCCCGCCGTCATCGGGGAGGCCCTCCGCGTCCGCAGCGCCCCGCTCGGGTCGCGGGGTGCGCAGCAAGGAGGGATCCTCGTAGTGGTTCTCGAGGCCGTTGGACGCCCGCCGGAACAGCGCGGTCGCTGCCGCGTTCTTGTACACGGCCTCGGCGGCGAGCGCGGTCCCGCACTCTGAGATCTCCTCGTAGATGCCGGAGGCCACCGAGGCCACGGACACGGCCGACTCTCTCCGCCGGTCCAGCGCCGCCCTGGTGCTGTCGGCCCCCGCGATGCCGGCGATGCCCGCGATGCTCGGAAGGTCCGCCGCGGGCAGCACGTCCGCGCCGTCGTCCGCGTCATCGTCCACGTCGTTGTCCTCAGCCTCGCTGCCTCCCGGGGTGGACAGGATGAGGCCCAGTCCCGCGGAGATGAGTCCCGAGGCGATCTGGCAAAAAAAGGCGAAAAGTATGTCAAGCGCTGGTCGAGCTGAGCACGACGTCGACGCACCGCGCCTTCCTCGCGAAGCTCACCTTGCCGCCGAGCAGCGACAGCGCGGACCCGCTGTACTCTACAAATCAAAGAGCGTACATTGTATGCTCTACCTGGAGCATACAATGTACTGAATGCTGAAGCTTAGAAACATAGAAAAACCAATTAAGAAAGTATAACCTTATTTACGTTAACCGACAAACAAAACAGAAGGGAATGGTTGTCTTTACCACAGTGCCGAATGCGGAAGAATACTCTTCGGAAGCCCGAAGGGTCCCCGACGTGACCCACCAGTCTATAATTTGGCACGATGATGTGTTCCAAATCGCTTTCCATGGTCACGATGCGGGTTTTGGCCTCCACCAGAAAATCGTTCAGCACGCCCTGCCGATCGGGGGTCGCGACCCGCTTCGGCTTGGCTCAGCGAGGGTTTTGACATCAGGAGCGACCAGCGACCCCCCCGTCAGGTTTAGTCTGGAGCCGCGCGTGCTCCGGAGAATGGTGCCTCGGCGCCACTGCAGCCACCGGCGGATGGAAGGCGAACGGGCGCCGGCCATCAGGGAGCGGGGCGGTGCCCGCTGCGTCGCGGAAGCGCAGCAACAGCTGTGCCTCGTGATACAGCTGTGCCAAAGCATCGCGGCCAGGAGGTGGTGCAGCTTGGACCCCCTGCAGCGGGGCCGAGGGCGGCGGCGATGGAGGTGCCGCCGGCGCTGGCTCTGGCGAGGGCGGCGGTGGAGGTCGTGGTGGCGGCGTTGGCGTCCTGGGTGGTGGCGGGGCCGGTGCAGCGGGTGGCGGTTGAGGTGCGGCCGGCGGAGCTCGAGGTGCGGCAGGCGGCGGTCCAACTGGCGGAGACCGTGCCCGCGGCCGCAAGTTGATGGCCGTTGCGGGGCGCTGGGCGAGTTGGAGCGGCGCCCATGTGGCCGTCATGGCCTCCAGGGCGGCCTGCACGACGGCACGCTGCGCGTCGTGCAGGAAGGGATGGAGCACTGTCACTGTGTCACTCTGAAACGGGCAGTTTGAGCACTGTAGGTTTGACGGCCCGTGGAGCACTGTGGGAAGGAGTGGCCGCGCCATACAGGGCGGACACCTGTCGCGCAGCTCGATGGAGACGGAGTAGAAGCGCCCGGTGGTGTGGGCGCGGAGTAGTCCTGATGTTTGCGTAACAAGTCCTAGGAGGAAGGCTGCTTCGTTTGTGCTCAAGAAGTCTGCCCTGTCGCGCAATATCTCTTGAATACGCGTCGTTCACCAACGCGGCGAGAATGGGGCGCTGCATGGTGTTGCCAGAAAGACTGCTGCTACGGAACTGATGCGTCTTGCAGCCGGCTCCAGAGTCCTTGCCGGTTGTTTACTTCTGAGGGGTAGTGAGAGCGGGAGGGGGCCTCACTGGCAGCCAATCACGGCCCAGGGTAGGCGGACGCATTGCGTCGGGGTCCGGCTCGGGCGAAGGGGTACGCGTCCGGACGGTGGCGGGAGGGGTTGGGGTGCCTTGTTCTTCGAGAGAGCAATTTTGCTCTTCTCGCTCACCTACGCTTCAGTTTTACCAGTGAAAGTACGCCCTTCAGTGCCATGAACGAAGATGTCCATTTCTTCGTCTCTCCACGGCAAGTGGTGCGATGAAAAAATCTTCCTGCATTTCGACGTTGTCGCTGGTTTCGTCGTAGTGTCGTCTGTACCTGATTATTCTGTCTCGTCGCCGGGCCTGATTGTTTTTACGGTTTGATTGGTGGTAAGCTGCTACAAACACAGCCAAAACTGACGTTTTCCATTTCGGGGCAACGTTTTGCTTACTGTTTGTTCGTAGGCGTCAGGCACCAAAATATCGGCGGAATCGTCAGGAAGCAATGCTAATTCTTGTTTTCTTTTCGGGCACCTCTTTCTGTCATCTGGCATCGACGTATCACTAAAGACGCACTTTCTGCTTAAGCGGCACAGGGCCACTCCAAGCAAAATCCACTTGACATGACGTCTCTTTGGCCCGCAGGGCACGCGACGATATCATTTTTAAAATAGTTCTGTCGTCAAACCCTTTTTCATGTCGCAGTGCCGTGATGTCCGTATGCAGTTCAGAATGATTCTTTTCGGTTTCAGTAACGTAAGCTACGCAATAACGGAGCAAACTGTACACATCTAATACAAACTGAAATCGGACGGTCAGGTTAATGAGTG